CAAATTAAGAGAGGCGCTGCTCCTCACGGCCAATAAGATGGAGGTGGTACCAGGTGCCGGTAGCTCATGCCTGTCATCCTAGCTACTCAGGAGGCTGAGATCTGAGGATCACAGTTCAAAGCCAGCCCCGGCAGGGAAGTCTGTAAGATTTCAATTAACCACAAGAAAACCAGAAATGGCGCTGTGGCTCAAGTGGTAGCGAGCTTGCCTTGACTTGAAGAGCTCAGGGACAGTGCCCAGGCCCAGAGTGCAAGCCCCAGGACCAAAAACAAACAAACAAAAAAAGATGGGGGTGGTCACTGACACCTATACTTCTAGCTGTATGAGAGCCATAGGTAGGGGAATCATGGTCTGAGGCCTGCCTGGCCCAAAAAAAGAAGAAAGAAAACAAAACCTCTAGACCCTATCTGAAAAATAACTAAAGCAAAATAAGATTTGGAGTTGTGGCTCAAGTTGGGAGAGCACCTTGTTTGGCAAGTTTGAGGCTCTGAGTTCAAACCACAGTAACACCAAAAAAAAGGTGCACATGAATGCATATGTATACACACACACACACACACACACACACACACACACGCACATCCATCCAATGGAGTACTATGCAGCTATAAGAAGAATGAAGTCCCATCATTTGTGACAATGTGGGTAGATCTCAGGACAATAGCTGAAAGAAGACAGACAAAAGAAAGCTTAAGTCCCATTTGCTGTCAATCATCTGCGGAATGTCAACCCCCATGTCTGCCCAGCAAACACAATCCAACTACGCAGGAGACTCCACACTGCTACCACTCAGGTTCCTTTCAGAAACTTAAGGGTGACTTAACACTCCAAAGCCAAGCGATTGCAGCCATCCCTGAGCACACACCAGGGCAACACTTCAGGAACCAGACGAGCTCCCTGCACTTGTTTCAGGCTCCCACCCCTGCCGGTGACCTTGTCCCTGAAAGATGGTTGCTTCTCATTAACCTCCCGATAGGGACATTCGTCCCCTGCTCCTACACAAAGCCGTTCTGCAAACTCTACAGGGAGAAAAAGGGCACGCAGGACTTGGCTCCCGTGGAGGCTGAGCTCCTGGTACACACTGTTCCCCAGGCCCAGGGAGCACTGAGTGCTTATAGACCCAGGGCATGAGCTGGGCACCAGTGGCTCACGCCTGTCAGCCTAGCTACTCAGGAAGCTGAGATCTGAGGATGGTGGTTCAAAGCCAGCCTGAGCAGAAAAGTCTCCATGAGATTCTTTTTTTGGGGGGGTCCGGTCATGGGGCCTGAACTCTGGGCCTGGGCACTGTCCCTGAGCTCTTTTGCTCAAGGCTAGCGCTCTACCACTTGAGCCACAGCGCCACTGCAGGCTTTTTTCTTTTTGCTTATGTGGTACTGAGGAATCAAACCCAGGGCCTCAGGCATGCAAGGCAAGCGCTCTACCACTGAGCCACCTTCCCAGCCCTCCATGAGCTTCTTATCTCCAGTTAACTACCCAAAAAAGCCAGAAGTGGAGCTGTGGCTCCAGTGGTGGAGTACTCGCCTTGAGCAAAAGAGCTCAGGGACAGTGCCCAGGTCATGAGTTCAAAGCCCAGTACTGACAAAAAGAAACGTGTGTGTGTGTGTGTGTGTGTGTGCGCGTGCGCGTGCACTGAGCAGAGACAGCTTCTGGGCTGGTGGGGACCAGGCAGGTGACAGTGTTGTTTGTGTCCCAGTGAGAAACTCAGTGCAGCAGAGTTGCAATAGGTTGAATTGCTACTGACCTTTGCCCCCCTAGCTGGCTCCCTGGGGAACCAGGGCTAAGGACATCTGATTAGCCAATGGCACCCAGATAAGCCATGGCCACCTCTGTGGAGGGACAGCCTCTGCACACGTCATGACATTTAGTCTCTGTCAAGTGAACAGCTGGAGAGTAGCAAAGAGCTAGGGGGAGGGTCACAGGGCCTGGTCCCCCCGCTCTGGTCTGGCTGGGAACAAGGCCGGAGCTCAGGGCGGCCCCAGCTGGACGCAGGCCAGTGTGGCTTTCTCAAGGTCATGGTCGTATTTCTTTTCCACTCACTGCCCTGACCTTCGCTCCATACCGCTCGCTGGCGTCACTGCCTTGGCTGCTTTGTGGGAACTCCAAGTTCAGGGTGACTGGCCTGTCATGGTCAGTCTGGTGAGGCTCCCTGAGAGTGCCAAGGTCTTGGGATCCAGGACAGCGTGCACCCCCACACACACACAGCACCCCACATCCCCTTCCCAGGGAGACTGGCTTCACTCTGCTACGCTCTGGCCTGGTCAATGATGACATGTTGCTTGCTGGCTGCCCAGGGACGACATGGGGACATGGGTGTGACAAGGTCCTGTGGCTTCTCTGTCTTCTCTCATCACCCCCTAACCTTGCTCATGGGAATGCTGTTTTCTTTTGGGATGATGGAATGTTCTAGAACTGGATGGTGGAAATGGCTCTACATTCTGTAAATATATTTAAACACCATTGTACACTTGAAATGATGTGTTTTAGAGTAGAGGACTTTTTTTTTCTTCTTTCTTTCTTTGTGTGTGTGTGTGTGCCAGTTCTGGGGCTTGAAGTCAGAGCCTGGGCACTGTCCCTAAGCTTTTTAGTTCAAGGATAGTGCTCTGCCACTTGAGCCACAAGCTCTAGTTCTGGCCTTTTGGTTGTTAATTGGAAATAAGAGTCTCACGGACTTTCCTGTCAAAGCTGGCTGGCTTTGAACCTCCATCCTCAGACCTCAATCTCCTGCATAGCTAGGATTATGGGTGTGAGCCACTGGCTCCAGGCTCATAATGTTTTTTTCTTTTTTTGTCAGTCATGAGGCTTGAACTCTGGGCCTGGGTGCTGTCCCCCAGCTCTTCAGCTCAAAGCTAGTGCTTTACCACTTGAGCCACAGTGCCACTTCTGGTTTTCTGGTGGTTTTATTGGAGAAAAGAGTTTCATGGACTTTCCTGCCCAGGCTGGCTTTGAATCTCAATCCTCAGATCTCAGCCTCCTGAGTAGATAGGATGACAAGTGTGAGCCACCAGCACCTGGAATAATTTTTTTCTTAATAATGACATCTTAAAATAAATAATAGATAATTTTTTCAAGAGAGGAAGACCTTCATCCAAATGGGCATTGAGTGAAAGCTCAGGGACAGTGACCGGGTCCTCAGTTCAATTCCCAGGACTGGCACGCATATACATACACACCCCCTCTACAATATGTAAGCATTCACATAATATATACAGGCACCTTTAAATTATTATTATTTTGCTGAGCAACCCATTAAAGAGTATTTAAATTGGGAGTTTATCATTCAAAGAGAAGAAGGTTGGAACCATACGGATTCATAATGAATTGAAGTTACTTCCATAATTTTTTTTTAAATTAAAGAATGGAATTGAAACTGATCTAACCTGGAGCTGGAAAGTCTATTCTATGTGCCAGACTTGAAAATGGAAAGTTACGTTTCCAGCTATGGTTTTGCAGATCACAGAGGGAGAAGAAGATCCTGAGATAGCAGGAGGGCACTGCAGGAAAGGGCTGTCCTGTGGGAGGCTGAAAGGTAAAAGCCACTAGGTAAGAAGCCCATAAGGGCTGGGTATGGTGGTGCCCAGCTGGAATCCCAGCTACTTGGGCAGCAGATGCCAAACCATCACAGCCCAGACTGGCCTGAGCAAGAAGTTCAAGATCCTATGTACAAAATAAGTAAAGCAACACAGGGCACCGGTGGCTCGCGTCCGTAATCCTAACTAGTCAGGTGACTGAGATCTGAGGATCTCGATTTGGAGCCAGCTTAGGCAGGAAAGTCTGTGGAACTCTTCTAAGTAAATGACCAAAAAAAGCTGGAAACAGAGCTGTGGCTCAAGTGATAGAGTGCTGGCCTTGCGCAAAAGCAGCTCAGGGACAGCACCCAGGCCCCGAGTGCAAGCCCCAAGTTCAGCAGGAAAAAAAAAAAAAAAAGTGCAAGAATAGCAAACAAGGCTGGGGGCGTGGCTCAGTGACAGGGCGGGGCTCAGCTGGAAGGGGCGTGGTAAAGTGAGGAGGGTGTGTCTGCAGCCAGAGGACTCCCAGGCCCTCAGTTTAAATCCCATAATCCCAAATAAACAAATAAAACACTACCAGGGCCGGCAGGGCCTGCAGCTGGTGGGAGAGGCTCCCTCCCCGTATGTGTGCAGGGGACCCTGCCCAGATTTTACATGAACACGGGTGGGCCTGGCTTCTAGGCTGACCTCCCTGAACACCCTTGTGTCCCTCTTACCCAAAGGGCCTCCTGTCTCCCTTGGCCATCTTCTGAAAGATTGGGGGGCCGGGGGCAGTCACTGCCATGTCCTCCCCTCCTCCCAGTGGGGCCTGGTGGAGCAGAACAAACCCGGAACACCAGCTCCCACGTCTTGTCTTGAAGGGTTGTGTGATCCTTAACCCCTTCCCATGCTGTGCCTGCTGCTCTGGGGGGGGGGCAGGAGACCCCCCCAAACCAACAAATGGTAGAGAAAGAAGGTGGTCATGCAGGGGACACCTGCTAAAGCCCATGTAAAGTGATAAACCGTGACCCCTCTCTTCAGTCTGCACCCTGACAAAGGCACAGTGGCCTGGGAAATCTCCCCAGGGCTTTTAGAAAAACAAGCGCATCACCGCTGGAATGTCATCAAGGAAAGGGGGACCCTGGGAACCCCAGCCTCCTCCAGCATTTCACACGCACCTCTAATGTGTTTTAGACAAGATGGGATTGGTGGAAATTGAGACACCAGCCAGCAAAAGCATTCATAAAAAGAGCTGCCATCCCAGCTACTCAGGAGGCTGCGATCTGAGGAGTGAGGTTCGAAGCCAGCTCCAGGCAAGAAAGTCCATGAGACTCTCCAATCAAGCACCTCCCCGCGCCCCTCCCCCCCAAAAAAAGCTAGAAATGGAGCTATGGCTCATGTAGTCGAGCAGTAGGTAAGCAAAAAAGTTCAGGTACAGTGCTCAGGGGCTCAGTCCAAGCCCAGTGATGGACACACACCAAAAAAGAACAAGAAATAAAAATAAATGAATCCAACCTGTCATTCCGTGATCGCCCAGAGCAAGATGGCAGACACCACCTGCAGCTCCCCACCTCAAGTGCGTCTCCCCAGCACTCACCGAGCAAAGCCAGGAACCGTGCTATGGCTGTTCCTATGATTATTTGAAGCCACACAACCTCTGAATCCAAGTTGTTTGCTTCTGTCTGGAAAAGCACCGGGAGTTGCGCTGAAACCAGACACGTGGATGCAGCCATTCCATGGCCACAGACCCCCCGGGGGAGGCTCAGGAGCGCCAGGCAGCCGCCCCCAAGCCCACTGGCTGTTGAGAATTTTGTTTCAGACAGGATATCATTAGGAAGCTCCAGCTGGCCTCTACCTCATGATCCTCCCGACTCAGCCTCCCAAGTACTGAGTTTACAGGCATGTGCCACTATTCTCAGCTTGAGAAAGGTGAATTAATTTTCCTGGCTTCTCCCTTACCACCTTCCCCTCCAAAAAAAAATAGGGGGGGGGGAGACTGTATTTCCTCAAAGGTGAGTGGGGAACTGGGAATGTGGTTAGTGGTAGAGTGCTTGCCTAGCATGCATGAAGCCCTGGGTTTGATTCCTCAGTACCACATACACAGAAAAAGCTGGAAGTGGTGCTGTGGTTCAAGTGGTGGAACAGAAGAAGCTCAAGGAGGCCTGGGAAGGTGGCTCAGTGGTAGAGCACTTGCCTTGCATGCATGAGGCCCTGGGTTCGATTCCTCAGCACCACATAAGCAAAAAGAAAAAAAAGCCGGAAGTGGCACTGTGGCTCAAGTGGTAGAGCGCTAGCCTTGAGCTGAAGAGCTGAGGGACAGCGCCCAGGCCCAGAGTTCAGGCCCAACGACCGGACCCCCCCCCAAAAAAAAAGAAGCTCAAGGAGAGTGCCTAGGCCCTCAGTTCAAGTCCCAGGACTGGCAAAAAAGAAAAGAAAAGAAGAAAAAGGCTGGCCAGGAAGGTGGCTCAGTGGTAGAGTGTTTGCCTAGCATGCATGAGGCCCTGAGTCTGATTCTGAGCACCACATAAACAGAGAAAGCCCGAAGTGGCACTGTGGGTTAAATGATGGAGTGCTAGTCTTGAGCTGAAGAGCTGAGGGACTGAGGGACAGCACCCAGGCCCAGAGTTCAAGCCCCACAACCAAGAATAAACAATAGATTATAATTGTAACCCCTCTGTACAGTATTTTCACAATAAAAAAATTAAAAAAATAAACAATAGATTAAAAAGCTAAGCAAAACAAAAAGTTTACAGGCACAGCCTTCATCCACATTTAAATCCTTTATTTTTATTTTTAGCTTCCGAGGAAGCCAGAATGAATGTGAAAAGACAACCCACAAAATGGGAGAAAGGGTTTGCAAATCATAGATCTCCAAAGGTATTTATGTCTCTAGAATATATAAAGAAAGTTTTTCCTCTCCATTTTTGGATTGGGAATTGGGCCTTAAGCTCTATCCCTTAAACCACATCCCAGCCATTTTGTTTGTATTTTGCTCTTCTGACAGGGTCTGGGTAAGTGCCCAGACTGGCCTCAAACTCATGATCTTCCTGCTTTTGCCTCCCAAGTAGCTTGAATTTATAGGTGTGCAACTCCAGGCCCAATCAAAAATATATAAGGAAGTCTTACAAATCAGCAACAGAGGAGCAAAAAGTGTGTGGGCTGGGCACAGTGACTCATGCCTGTAATCCCACCTACTGGGGAGGGAGAGATGGAGACAGTGCAGATAAGAGGCCAGGCAAGCTGGGCGCTGGTGGCTCACGCCTGTAATCCTAGCTACTCAGGAGGCTGAGATCTGAGGATCGCGGTTCAAAGCCAGCCCGGGCAGGAGAGACCGTGAGACTCCTATCTCCAATAAACCACCAGAAAACCGGAAGTGGCACTGTAGCTCAAGTGGTAGAGTGCTCGCCTTGAGCTGAAGAGCTGAGGGACAGCGCCCACAACCGACAAAAAAAAAAAAAAAAAGAGGCCAGGCAAAACATTAGTGAGACCCCATTTTAACCAATTATCAGGCACAGTGGCATGTGCCTGGAATCCCAGTTACCCAGGAGACTATAAAATAGGGTATTGTGTTTTGTCCACGGTCTCCTGTGGCATTAGGTGACTGTGGGCAGAACACAGTACCCTACCTGAACATTAAAGCAAAAAGGAATTGCTTGTGTGGGTAGGCATGGTTCCAGATGTGGGGGCCTGGAGCGGGGCTCATGCCTTTACATCTGCCTACCACAAATTCAAGGCCTCGCATGCAAACCCTACCGTTTCCAGAAAAGACAAGAAAAATGGCCAAGGCAGGGTATGAGTGGGTGGCTCACATCTGTCATTCCAGCCACTCAGGAGGCTGAGATCTGAGGACCGCAGTTTGAAACCGGCCCAGGCAGGAATGTCCAGGAGACTCTAATCTCTAATTAACCACCAAAAAGCCGGTAGTGGAGGTGTGGCTCAAGTGATAGAGCACCAGTCTTGAGCAAAAAAAATCTCAGAGACAGTGCCCAGGCCCTGAGTTCAACGCCCAGGACCAGGACACACACACACACACACACACACACACACAAATACAAACGGTGAGTGATTGCCTAGTAAGTGGGAATTCCTGGGCTTAATCCCCAGCATTGAAAAAAAATGGGGGGGGGAGATAAAAGGCTCTGAATAGAAACTTCTCCAAAAAAGGTATGCAAATGATCAATATACAGATGAAAAGCCGTTCTCTAGCATTAGTCACCAGGGAAATGCAAATTGAAACCACAGAGTTGGCCCTGTGAGGGCCGCTATGGTGGAGACAGAAAGTAGAGTGTGGGTCAGGATGTGAACTCAGAACGCGCAGGCGTGGTGCGTGGGGACGTGAGGTGAGACAGCAGATTGGGAAATGGGCAGGTGGCTCTGGGAAAGGTCACATGTGGAGCCACCCCAGGACCTGTGATCCCCCTGCTAGACATGCTGCCTCAGAGAAATGGAAACTCCTGCGTGGACGTTCACTGGGCCCGGTGTTAATTAATCCTGAGGGAGGATCACACAGCCAGGAACAAGACCAAGTTAGGATCCACACAGCAATGCCCAGTGTGAAAGGTCCCCATTGACACTGTGTTCGCTGAGAGAAAGAGACACAAAAGGCCCTTAGTGTGTGGCTCCATTGATAGGAAACATCTAGAACAGGTGAGTCCAGAGACAGGAAGTGGGGCTGAGGCTGGGAAAGGGGCGGGGATGATGCTCACGGGGACGTGGCTTCCTTTTGTGTGCGTGTGCGGGCTCTGGGGATTGAACCCAGGGTCTGAGCTTCTTTTGCTCGAGGCTGACACTCTCCCACTTGAGCCACAGCTCCACGTCTGGCTTTTTGGTGGTTCATTAGAGATAACGAGTCTCACAGACTTTCCTGCCCTGGCTGCCTTCGAACCATGACCCCCAGATCTCAGCCCCCTGCGCGGCTCAGATGACAGGCCTGGGCCACCGGCACCCGGCTCTGGCTTACATTTTGGCAAGTGCCATTTCTGGCTTGATGGATGGCATATTTGACCTTCCCAAAGACCTTGAGCATCCACAGGTCAACGCCCTCATGACCCTGTCTCTCAATACTACCGGGCATCACTCTACAGCGCTGGGTACCAAGCTCTGTGTTTCCATGGCAACCTTGCGGCAGCCCCTCCCCACACTCCCCGGCAGAGTTCTGCACCCAAGCACTGCAGGTGCACAGAGGCGCATGAGGAGCGTGAATCTCCCCTGCGCTACCGTACCGCCAAGATCTTGTAGGGGAAAAGGAGGGCAGATTTCCAGACAAGGTTTAATACTCCTCCCAGAAGTTTCAAGCAGCAAATTTGGAGGCAGCCCAGGGACAGGAGTTTTGTGGGAGGGATTCCGAGAAAGAGGCCCTGTGGGTCAGGCTGCAGCTCCAGTGTCTGCTCCAGTGTCTGCCCAAAGGCCTGGATTGACTTTGCCCAGCTCCCTGCCCTCCCCTCCCCCCCCCCCCCCCCCCCCCCCCCCCCCCAGTCCAAGCAACACACAGCCAGAAGAACAGCTTGTGCACAAGGCCTCAGCTACACTGGCCTCGAAAGTCGGAGCAAATCAGAGCCAATGAATGCCGGTCCTCAAGCCAGGACTGGGCAGGCTAGGGTGGCCGCTTGGGGCTGGGAGTCCAAACCACGCCACTACGCATGTGCTGAGGCTGACGGTGTTCTGGGAACTGAAATGAATGCCGTACGCCAGACAGAGAACCAGAAGCGGGAGCCAACCCAGGGCTGGGCAGCTGGCCCACCCTTCCTCTTCCTGGCCTCCCAGTTCTCTTAGATCACAATTTCCTTTTATAGCCAGGTTAATATCGAACCATCAGGAGTCTGAGGATTGAAAAGTGAAACTCAGCAGTGTAAGGCAAGTGGGAAGAGCGATGGGATCGGGGCTGAGGTGTGGACCAGGAGACAGGGACTTAAGCACTGACACAGCCAGGACAGGCTGGAGGGGGTAGTTAGTGTCCAGCAAGAGAAGAAAAGACATATTCCCTGCCTTATTTGCTATTATTATTATTACTACTACTACTTCCAGTCCCAGGATTTGAACTGAAGGCCTTGCATCTACTTGGCTGGCTTCCTTGACTGTTGCTTTACCCCTTGAGCCACGCCTCCAGTCTGGCTTTTTTTTGTCGGTCGTGGGGCTTGAACTCTGGGCCTGGGCGCTGTCCCTCAGCTCTTCAGCTCAAGGCGAGCGCTCTACCACTGAGTCACAGTGCCACTTCTGGTTTTCTGGTGGTTTTATTGGAGA